ACCAACTTGTGCAAAGACTTTCTCCTACCCATTTGTATAGGCAACCAAATCTAAGCAGAATCAAAGTTTTTTTTAAAAAGTTCACTTTAAGTGAACCATACAGGTGTGCAAGACAGCCTGTTAAAAAGACTTCAAAAGATGTCTCACAAGTTCCTCCCACTCAGCTAAGGAAAGCAAACTTTGCAGCAGAAGTATGTGAACACAAAAATTAATTTCACCAAGAGCAATCCTCAGTCAACTCACACCTCAAGTTCACAGCTCTTGCCAGCATCCAGCCGTTAATTTTCCACTCAGTCTAATTATAAGACTACTCTCTTTTCTACCACAACTTGACTTTCTTAGTATTGTTTACCTTAATCACTACCTTGGGGAAAAGAACAAAAAGTTCAAGCATGCTGCAAACAAACTCTTGTAAACAACTTCAGCTGTTTTTTACTATCTACCAACAATCCCTGACAGCAACACCAGTCATGAATACAAGTTTAAGAAGGGAAGAAGAATACATGTTAATGATCAAGGCAAAGATATAAAGACTAGTATTGTGGTGGTGTTTCATTACAAATCAGTGTTTTTAAGACTTTTCCTATATATCTAAATTAAATGACGCATATATAATGCTAGTTTTTGCTACAGAGTACTCTGTCTACCTGAGGCAAAATGCAGTGCCTGTCATTGCTTCAGAGCACTTAAACAGGGGCAGCAGGTAACTGCTGAGCAGCCTAAGCAGCTCACGGATGCTCACAGTGAAAGGTTTGACACAAAAACCTTCAGAAGAAAAGATCAGGTATTACTCTGACAGTCACTATCGCAAAATGTATGTGTCAACCGTGATATCCGGTAACAAACCAATAACCTGATATATCTAAGCCAGAGGAAAAAAAATCTCAAAGGAGAACAAGAGTAGTAGTTTCCAAATCAATGGAAGATACAAATCCAGATATATTGTCCATAGCCAGAGTGAGGTTCCAGTTCCAAAGATGTTTGGGAATGTCACTAAATTCACCACAGAATATTTTTCATACTTTTCAGAAGAAAAGTAAGATAGATTGTGAGATTCATTTGTAGCAAGATTACTAAACAGTATTACTTAACCAAATGTTAAATCACAGGAAATATGGAGAATCTCTTTTCAGATCACTTCAAGGTTTCCAAGAAAATAAAACAACTACTGTGAACCTGAAGTCCAAGAAGGGTACTCTTATCAGTTCTTTTGAAGGACTTATATTGCAGGAAAGCAAATAAACAAAATCAATCAAGTAATCAACCAAGGATGATTACTTATATTGAAATATCAATTTCTCCTTCTCTACTTCATAACCCAAGAACAAAAAGTGGAAATTGCAGTGAAATTCACATATTATTATGTTTCAATAGGAAATAAAATATCAGCCCCTCTTTTGCTCCTAAAATACTTTATCAGAAATAACAGGAACATTTGAGACAGGATTCGAAACAGCAGTATCAATAATTCATCTGTGAGAATTTCCTACATAATTAAATAAGTGATTTTATGGGTACTGAACAGTTTACAGCCTCTTATTTTTAGTTAGTCCTGATTTCACATACCAACAAGAAATGATTTTGCATTATACAAAACCTTACAAGATCCAGAGTTCCCAGCTTAGCACTACATACCCTAAGTGTGGCTCTTACCTTGTAAAAACTCATTCTTTAAAAGAGAAGATGAACCCTTAAAATAAAACTTCACGTAAAGAAACTATCATAGCAACTCACAGTTACTTCCCTTTTGCACAGCTGGCATTTAAACGGTATAACACATCCTCAGTAGTGCGAAAACCTTAATGCAGTTTAGTTGCTTAATAAATTTGAGGCAGACTTCCCAAAATTATACTGAATAGTATTGCAAAATGTGGGGGTGGGGGTGGAGAAGGGAAGGGCAGCATCATTAGAAAAGCATTAAAGCTAAATTCAATTATTCAAGTATCACAGATTACTTCTCAAAAACCTCTTCATTAGAAAGACCAAACAAGGTGGCACCTCAAATACCACAACTGACTGAGTTACAGGACAATCTCTTTCAGCAGCCTGTACAGGACCAGAACGACACTGTAACTCACATGCTGACAGGGACATTTCAAATGCAACTGACAGAAGGTGGCAGGAGGCAATCAGATACTACTGTAGCAACCCAAACAGTTTTGCAACAAAGAGATTTGGTTCACTTCAGAGTGCTCTACAGCATTACCTTTGGGCACTGGAGGCTTGAATTTTTTGGTCAGAAAAAGATGAAGCTCATTGGTACCTAGAACTGTACAACCTCTTTTGAGTGCCAAACACTACAAAATTGAACGAACAATTTCTTTATTCTTTAGGACAAGGACAATAAACTATCAGAGAAACAGAGAGCAAGATTTTGCAGAAGGTGCTCAGTACCTAACATCCACTTAAAAGCAGCTGAAGAGCTTTTTAGAATCTCTTATTTAGCAACCACCTGAGCAAATTTTTACCTCTGCTCACAAGCTGTCTAAAATGGGCTGCCACTTTGATTTCAAGGCCAGTATGCTGCAAAAATTGCAGTATTAGACTAGTGACTTCAAGCACCATGAAGCCATCTTTCATACATTCTCCTCTGCAACAGGAACTACAGCTTTCAGATCAAGCAAACAAGCACTATGGTAGAACAGAAGAATCAATTCCTGCCACTTAACACAAAACTACGTATGTTAATCTTACTATCTTGCAACCCACTAAAACTGTTTTGTGTAATAATTCAGAATCCCAGTTGATTTAATTTCTCCTACTGTTCTTTTAGTGTCATAAAAAGGGAATCTAGTGCCTGGGAGTAGTGTTTTCTTGGTAGTTCAGAAATCAAAAGTATTTAAAGCAAATGAAAGAAGAGCTCACCTTTTCTTCTTTTGATTAAAGATACAGTTAAATATAAAATATATAACTACAAATCAGTCAGTCATGGCTAGGCTTCGCAAATGAAGATTTGAGAACTATAAATACTTATACATGTACATATATAAAAGAATAAAATCCTCACAATGCTACAGTAGTCCCAGTAAAAAAGAGAGCATTAACACAGATTTCCATGTTTTTTATGCAAGAAATCAGTACCAGACACTTCTTTCATCAGAAATGCCAGTCTCAAACTTTTAGAGATACAGCATGAAGCATTAGAAAGTTTTTCAGGTGTTCTCCATGATCATGGAAGACTTAGTGATTTTAATATTATTTATTTCAAAATAAGCAACTTTCCCTGCAATGTATAGGGGTTTTTTATTAGCATACGTTTGAAAAAAATGACCCTTCTGCTCACTTTGCAGCACAACAGACACCACCACTGAAGCAAGCGATACGAGACTGTGAAATACATACTTTAGGGAGCTCTAGGAACTTTTTTTTTGTTCATTTAACTAATATATTTGGAAGAGGAGTAAGGGAAAAAATACAAGATTTCCAATATGGGTCCTCTCAAATGAATTCTAGTTCTTCATATGTAAAATACAAGTGCAGAATTAAGAGATGAGCTCTAGTAATAATTTTAATAGAATACATGAAGGCAGAGACCTATTCTAACCCTTTCTCCCAAAGGCCACATCTCTGCACAGCAGGCAAGAGAATCTAATGCAGCTTTCAGTAAGAAAACAAATTAGTTCATGGTCCAAATACTGCATTTTCAAATTTAATGTAAGAATAGTTGTAACTTTTTAAGCATGTGAAACGTAGTATCTGAATTGTTTTAAGGATTCTACCAAAATACAAATATCATAAGAGTCAATTAACACCACACTAGTATTTCCAGTTTTCTGAGCAACTTGTTCTCTCATTCTCACCTATTACTAACAAAAGAACATAGATTACACTATCAGTTTTATGTCAAAATAATAGAAATGAGGATGTCATAATTATTTTTGTTGTCATTTGTTTGTATGTTTTCCATTATTTTCATATGATACTGTAATGCATTTATCAAGCTAGCAGAATGCAGGCCCCCTTCCCAAAAAGCACCATCTGCTATTACACTAAGATGGAAAATATGCAAAGAAAATCCTCTCTTATCTCAACGAATTTGCAAACTAAATCTGAGCATCAAGGAAGTCAAGGATTTTATAAGAAGTTAATCCCAAGTGTTCACAAACGGACTGTATCAAACAAATTTTCTTCTACTCAACTTAGACAACCGAGTCAGAGAACTAAACAACATGGCTGCATCACTTAGCCTGGACACAATCGTGTTTCAGAGCTATCTCATCATCTAACAGTTAGACATAGCATAGCCCTTTAGCAATTAATACTTATTTCAAGTAGGTTAGAAAATAAAGCATGCAGCTATCAAACTCTGGTACAGCTACACACCGCACAGCTGGCCCTTATTGATTCTTCACACCGTAATTCACAGGGAATACTTCACTTTCCGCAGTTTAAAGAAATACGAGGTTTTTTTAAACAGGATTTTCAGGCTCCAATACCACAAAACAGACTACAATAGAAGCACTCCGAGCATCCCGACACGCCGTGTTTCGCCCATCCACACGTACACAAAGTCTGCAGGAACACACTGGAGTAACTGATGTTCTACAGACGGGAAACACTTCGGTGGAAACTTTTCGTCGCATGCGCCCGAACTTGTCTCCAGTCCAGCCCCGTTAACACTTCGCCACTCCCGGGACCAGACCCCCCCCGCGCTCCCCGGGCTCGGCGGGTGCGGGGCCACCACATCCAACCCAGGGCCTTTTCCCTTTTTCTCCTGGGCGGCTCCTGCCGCACAACGCGAGCTCCTGGGTTTGTTTTCCCAAAGAAAGTTGTGACGGCGGGGAAAGGCCCACCCGGCCCAGGCCGTCGCCCCCCGAACCCCCGCGGGCCGAGGGAGGGCCGGGAGCGGTGCCGGACAGCGGCCGCGGCCTGAGGGAAGGGAGGCAGGAACGGCGCCACTGCCCCCGTGCTCCCGCCTCCCGCGGCCCCCACTCCCCTCCCCGCCTCGCTCGGAGCAAAACAGGAACCCGCCCGACCCACCCCCCGGCCCCCGGGCGCACCTGCGGGCCCCAGCGGCGGCCCGGGGCCGGGCTGCCCGTCCTCGCCGAAGATCAGCCTGAAGTCGAACTCGTCGGTGGCGCCGCAGTTTGCCGTAGTCATGGGTTTGGCCGGCGAGGCTCAGCGAGACCCCGTCGCCCCTCAGGGCCGCGCCGGGTCCTGCCGGGCTGCGCTCGCCCCTCAGGGCCGCCGCATAACACCGGAGGGGCCGGAGCGGGGGTGGGGAGCGACACCCGAGCGACGACTCCGACCCCGGCGCGAGCTCCGGTGCCCGGGCGCTTCTGTCACTCCGGGGGGGCGGGCGCGTAACTCTGGGCCTCGGCTGGTCCCGCCCCCGCACCTCGCCCCGGGCAGCGCCCCCCGAGCCGGCCCTCCCTCCCTCCCTCTCTCCCTCCCTCAGCCCGCCCCGCCCGCGGTGACGTCGCGGCACCGACAGCGCCTCGTGACGGCCGCCGGTGCCGGGCCGGAGGAGGGGCCGCGCTGCCGCCGGTCACGTGGCGCGGAGAACCCGCCTAGCCCTGCCCCCCGCGCCGCGGGGGCTGCCGGGGGGTGTAGTTGGCTGCCGGTGGCCAATCCCGGGCGGCCAGCGGAGCACGGGGGGCGGGGCCACGGCGGGGCGCGGTGCCACGTGTCGGCCCCGCCGGGCCCGATCCCGATCCCGGCACGGTCCCGTTCCCGGTCCTGTGCCCGGTACCGTGGAGGCGGGCGCTGAGGAGTCCCTGTGTGAACCCTCCTGCAAAGCGCAAACGGCCGCCTGTGAAAGCAAAGGAGCAGAATCCCTCGCGGCGTGCGGATCTCACGTTATCTTCTAAAACACCGCATGTAAATAGGTGGTGCTCTTGACACTAATTAATGGCTCGAGTAATTAGGTAGGTTGACGTAAGCAGAGGAATGTCGCTTGGGTAACAAGCGCTGGCTGCAGGAGTCTGTCAGCCACTCGCCTTCCAGCTCAGTGGGAACAGGAGCAATGGAGCAAACACAGAATCATAGACTATCCGGAACTGAAGGACCATCCAGCAGGACCATCGAGTCCAACTCCTGGCCCTGTACAGGAGACCCCAGCAATCCCACTGTGTCCCTGACAGCCTTATCCAAATGCTCCTTGAACTCTGGGCAGTTTGGTGCTGTGACCCTGGGGAGCCTGTTCCAGTGCCCAACCACCACCCTCTCATGCACTTCACTTTCTGGTCACCACAGCTGCTGCACCAAGGCTGTGGAACTGCAGGCAATTTTCCTCCTAAACCAGTTCAAAAAATAATTTTAAAGCATGGAAAAGTGTCTTTACAGTCTCGTACTTTGTGAGATCTGCATCTAAAAGCTTTTAACCAAGAAGATACAAATTAAACTACTTTTTAGCAATGTATGCCATCAATAAAGGGAGCCCAGCAGTCACTAAGAAGAGCACAGAAGCTTCAGTATACTCTCCCTGCACAATAACATACCATCATCTATGGTTTTGCCTTGCAGTAAGGTTGGAAGTCAAATAAAAGGGCAAAAGTAACTGTAGAATTTAAGTTGTTCTTGCAGCAGAAGCATCTATTCCCTGCAGGGGATGGCACTGTAGAAACCATAAATGGCCTGATGTGTTTGAAATTTGCAGTCTGAGAAAGTGTAGAGCAACTTGAGAGGAGCTTAATATGAGTACTTGAGTCCTGTGTCCAGTTCTGGGCCCCTCACTTCAAGAAAGACAATGATGTGCTGGAGTGTGTCCAGAGAAGGGCAATGGAGCTGGTGGTCTGGAGCACAAGTCCTGTGAAGAGCAGCTGAGGAAGCTGGGGTTGTTCAGCCTGGAGAAAAGGAGGCTCAGGGTAGACCTTATCACTCTTTACAACTATACCTGAAAGTAGGCTATAGCCAGGTGGGGGTTGGACTCTTCTCCCAAGCAATCAGTGACGGGATGAGAAGTCACAGCCTTAAGCTGCACCAGGGGAGGTTCAGACTGGACATCAACTTCGTCATGGAAAAGGTTGTCAGGCACTGGAATGGGCTGCCCAGGGAGGTGGTGGAGTCATCATCCCTGGAGGTGTTCAAGAAATGACTGGATGTGGCGCTCAGTGCATGGTTGAGTTGACAAGGTGGTGATCAGTCAAAGCTTGAACATGATGATCCTGGAGGTCTTTTTCAACCTAAATGATTCTGTGATTCTATTCTGTGATTCCAACTTAATGAAATAGTCACTGTGTGCAGTGGAATTAGTAAAAGATTAATCCTTAATATATGTGATCTAGGTTTGTGCTGAAACTTGGGCATTGATGGGATTTAAACTACTACTCACGAGCAGTCAAGTTTACTTATAGACGGTTATGTAATTTTAATTTGTTGTGGACTGTGAAATTCATACTAACTAGAAATAGCATTGCTGCCTCTAAGATTTCATTACTTAGTTGAAAAATCAACTGAACTAGAGTTAGTGTGTTGTGACTCTATGGCCATGTGGAAATTACAGATTTATCTGTTAACACTGTTTGCTTTATAAATAACTAATTCTAATTGTTTCTATGCACAGGGTCTTTCCATGTTTGTTGCGGTTTAGACAGATCCAAACAGGCATGTCATAATCCCAGGTATGCATTTGTGTCTAGATGTTCTCATTAGAGCCTGTGGATGAAGGTGAGAAAAGAAGGCTCTCATGAAGAGGAACTGGCTACAGTGAGTAATTCTCAGACTAGAGGCTCTTAATAGAGTGCAGTGAATTCTCTCTCTACCACTCCTAAGGAAGATCAGTAGCCTGTGCTGAAGAAAGCAAGCCTAAATTAAAACCTACTTTTGACATGGCAATTATAGTGGAAACATAAAGCATCATATTAAAAAATACTTTGCAGAACTCGGGACAGCAGGAGTTTGCCCAAGTTTGGCCAAAATGCAAAGATGTTTCTAGTGCAAAAGCAACCATATATTTTTTACTTGATCTGCCAAAGCACTGTACTTGCTATTGTCACTTCCCATGCACCACTAGCTATTTGTTGACTGAAAATACATGAGCAACTACAGCTACTGTTCCTACAATACTTAAACCAAAGACTGATGCTCTTGTTAGAGCTGATGACTCCCTCTCTGAAGGAAGCCCGAACCTTATATGAAGCTCACACCCAGTTGGCCTGTAGCCTCTTTTTATCTCTAAATCCAAGGTCACGCAGCAAAACAAGCTGGAAAAGAACATGTAATTGGATTAACTGTGGTTAAGAAATACTCTCATACATTCTTGAATGTAAACAGATCTATGATGAACAATTTAGTAAGATACACTATACATAGAATGGCTTTTAGCAGCTAATTATTGTCTAAAACCTTTTTGGTAACCTTTTGCTTTTCAAGGCAGCCATACTAGAATTTGTCTTTTTATTAAAAATTGTTGTGTCAGATTACAGCAAATGAAGCAAGCACAGCAATTTCCTGTTCTGATTATTCATTATGCATGTCCCTGGTGAAAAATGCAATCAAACTTGTTCTCTTCATAAGGGGAAATCTGAACACAAATATTTGATCCGTGTTCTTTGATAAGATGCAATATTTCTAATGAATATGCTGAATTAAAGATATTAATATTATTGACTTGTTCCTTTCCCTTGACTGTAAAATAAATCTTGTCTTCCCTGTTTGAGACACTATTCATTCAGAAAGCGATGATATATGCAGGACATTAGGCAGTGCTTTTAGTCCTACCTACTGCTGTCAATTCAAAAAGAAAGCAGAGTATACATCCTAAAATAAAACAGAGAAATTGGTTATGTCATGACCACTTAGCTAACAAGACAAGAATTTAGAGAATATGTAGAAGGAAAGGTGGCATTGTAAGCAATTAATAGTTATTTACAGTAGTCTTTATAAAGTTTTTTACTTCAAAATCAGATGTCTTTGAGTTCAGGACTTCCATTTCTTGCCAACATTCTCCTCTTTTTGTCTAGTCTTCAGCATAGCTTTCATTTTGCTGTCTCTGTTCTGCTGCACCAAAAAGTGCATCCTTTCTTCATTTGAAATTAAAAAAAAAAAAAAATTAGACCTTCAAACCTTTTCTATACACTAAGGAGTGATTGGGTTGTGACTGAGAGTGAGTTGGCAGAAGCCCTAAAATGACTGAGGTGAGCTTACATCAATTTCCAGAGACTTATGTCAATCTCCATGCTTGAGGTCCGGGGCATGGATGGCTGATTTGGCTTTTGTTTGCTACTGAGATATGAAATGGTGGCAGTAACAAGGGCAACTTTATTTCACTTGAGGTTTTGTGAGGACAGGGGGCTTTTATTTATTAATTTATTTAATATGTATAGTTGGGTTCTGCCCTTGCTGCTTTTAGGCTGTATTATTGCATCCAGATGGGGATACACCTTCGTCTGGTCAAGAGCTGGAGTTATTGCATGTGTCTTGAGCAGGAAGGAACATGCTTTCCAAACTGGGGCTATTTCCTAGGTGTGTTGTGATTCTGGGTCCAAAAACCTGAGGACTACATGGTGCTGTGCTTTATTTTCCACACATCATCCTATACTGGATAGCTAGGAATTCTGGATCTGCAGCCATATCCCAGATCTGTATTTGTCTTGGAGTAATAGGGATTCCTTCCCCCTCCTATGGGCAGCAAATGAAACCCAGCTGCGCAATTGTAGCCAGAACAGGCTTTGGAAGATGCATGGTCAGGCATTCGTTCTGCATGAGTCAATAAACCAAACAGCCTGGAATTAGGAATAGAACACACAAGGTTGTATTTCATGTGCTTGATCTCATTCCTGCTTGTGGCTGAATCTGGACCTGTTTAGAAGGCACACACACCACCGTGGCACAGAAAGGGCAGATGAGAAAGGGCAGATGACAAAGACCCCTGGAATGAGCAGACAGTGTTCCTTGGCTGCAGCTGTAGTTAATGCCTTTTACAGCTGCAATTGAAGAAAGCACGAGTACATTAAGGGAAGTTTTTTGATCAATGTGAATATATACTAAATACTCTTAAACTCATTTGCAAATGGCATACAAACAAAATTGTCACAGCCTTCCCTTCATGTCTCTTACAGCTAACAAGGAACATCCATTGTTTAAGCAAGCAGAATGGTGTTATATAGGAGAAAGATAATATTTCAGCATAGAGCCTATGTTGAAGAAAGTTAAATTCAGCAGTAGTATAGGAAAAGGGCTTGCATTCTGCACACAAGGTCAGGTTATTTATATTTAATATGTGACATCTTGGCTAATTACCAGTGCTTGGGTGAAATATGAAACTTCTGCCACTGGGGAATTAAGGAAAACAAAATCAAAAGTAGATTGCATAGCATTGGAAAGTTTTGCAGCAAAATTAGAAGTTGTCCTAGTTCAGGCATTAGAATACATGGTAGTAGAAAACAGAGTAGAAGACAGCAATTTGACTGAACTTGGGTAAGTTTGAAATTTTCAGTGAAAATCTAGTCATCCTTTTAAGACTTCCTATGCCATAACTTAATTATACCAATTCTATCTAAATTTTGTGCTCAGTGTTTAATAAATGGGGCATTTGTAATAGCAAGATTACAAAGCTAAAAAAAAAAAAAATAACTGCCTACAAGGTGTGTGTTGACAAAAACATACCCACACTAAAAACTTAATGAGGTCACAGTCTCACTTAACCATTTTACAGTTTTCCCCAAGAAGTTTCATTGCCCTCCTAAACTTACTGCAGTCATATTAAACACAGTTTAATATATTTCTCTTCAATATATTTTCAAACAACCATTGCTTTGCTTCATTGTTTGTTTAACATTCTGCCATGTAATCCAAACATTACTTCATAAAGTTTGCTGCTGCTTTATATTTCTATATTTTCATGGAGCAGGTTGGAATCCTCCCATTTGGTGGTTACCATCACACATCTTAAAAGAGGGTCTAGAAATCTGACATTGAACTGCATGGCTTTCCTCACAGACTTTATATTCATAGTACTTTGCTCTTAGATCATCAAATGAAAGCAAAGTAAAAGTATCAGCTACATTATTACTTATATCAATATACAAGGACACTCCAGGCACAAGTGCTTCTGAAATTATTGCTTTTATAGATACCTTAGAGTGTTATTACAAAGGCTTAAGTGGTTTGGGAGTGAAATCAGACAATAACCAAGATTGCTACCACAACAAGAACAAACTCTTTTAATACATAGTGATGTTTTTGCATAAGATAAATATTAGTGGAAATTCAGTTGAGATTTCATGAAAACTCTTAGGCTCAATAAAAAGACTAAGGTGGCATTTTACTTACTTTTCCATATTTTAACTTTCATTTTTGACTGTTCATTAGCCAGCAGACAGTACTGTTGTACAAGACTGGGATATAGAAAATACAGGCTCTGTTCCAAGCTTCCCTCCTCTTGCAGTCTAATTTTCAGACTTCTTCAAAGGGGCACAAGTAACTTGCTATTTATATAGACACTTAAATCACTGCTTTACTGTCCTTCTGAGGTGAACATAATACAACTTCTGCTGTTCCTCTTTTCCCTTAGATTGCCCAGGCCTCTTAGTAAGGACTCTCAAGTTTGGAATACTTCTTACGCATTGCATTTGAGAAGTCTAACAGCCTGGCTAGATGATTTGGGCTAATATCTCTCTTTGTACTGGACAAGGAGAAGCATCACACAACTGTTGTAGCAACATGGAACCCCAGTCTCTGAGGCCTTAGCTATACTATTCTAGGATCTGTACATACTATGATACTTTTATGATAGGGTTCTGTTCAAGTGTAATGCGTGTGCAGTTTAAGGTGCAACAGGTTTTCTGCTTTCCCCGTTACATTCAATGTCCTTTGATTAGCTAAGATATAACCACAATCTTATGTGCTGAAGTCATCCCTCCTTATATATTCTAGTTCAATAAATTGCACATAACCTTAGTTTATCCATAAATTAGGTTTCTTCATCAGTATATTAATTATCTTCAGAGGTAGAAAAAGATACTTTCTCTTATTACAGCTTTTCACCATAGTTCAGAATAAGCAACCAGAATAAATGTATCTTTTCTTGATATGCATATGCCCAGGTTTCCATAGGAAGCCTCATGGGCTCACTCTTCAATGAGCAGGACTGTCAGCCTTGTGCAAACCACTCTTTTGTCCTTGACCCACATCAGATTCAGACAATGTGAAACAGTAGTTTCTAACGGTGTGAAAAACTTAATAGTAGTAGTTTGGATCTTGGACCCCTACGTTCCTCTGTGGAACTGAATCCATTTTGCAGTTGTTAGATCACGTGTGCTCACACCACTTGCCTAATCTGTGCCTAATGAACTTTCTCACCCAACATTTTCATTTGGACAAAACAGGTTTCAGCTGAGAGGTAACATGTGGAACACGACAGCCATACCTCGGCTGTTGCAGGTGCTTATGTGCCTTTTTTGCTGTAATCTATCCCATTATAAAGTCAAACAGGCCAGCCAGGTGGTTTACGTTTATTTTTGCCTTTGCATTGGAACAGAGGCAGTAGTTTTCATTAGCAGCTCTTGTCTTAGTTTTTTAGTTGACTTGAGTTTCCACCTGGCTTGCTGTCCAGATTGCATGTTAAGAGGGTTGATTCTTCTTTGACAGAGCAAGGGCTGGGAGGTTTAACTATTCAATTTGGTCACAGAATCAATCCTCACCACAGTCCTTCATCTGATATTATGCTGCTGGTCCCAATCATTACCTTTCTACCCTAACTCCTTCCCAGGAATAAGTCTTCACTGGATCCTCTGGCTTCTGATACGTCAGACTGGATTGGGATAAAGGTCCTGCTATACATTAAAAAATTTATGGAAAGTAGAAAAGACAAAACACAAAAAGGAACAACTAATTAAATACTATCTCATTATTTTTCCTAGCTGGAGAATGATCTATTCAATTAATGGAGTGCCCCCAGTCAACTGTGGAATAATATTACCCAGTAAAGGTTCACCCATTTAAAATTAATTTATTTTTGCTGTATTTGCAAGTCCTATATATTAATTCATCAGATATGTATATAAAGAATGGTTTAGCTGTTAATTTATATTGAACAAAACAATAGCATTTCAATGAATGCTCACATAAAATGTTTTTTTAACATGTATTCAAACTAGAAATCTTACTGCAAGGATTCATATCACCTAGTCATCAAGCAAAACCAAATCATATGATCAGTTGCTTTCATTATCAAAAAGGTCACAGATGTCTGAATATGCAGAAGTCATCCTTCTACGAATGCAAAATAAAATGTTTGACCTGCTGTTTCCTCCTCTGGAGACGAGGTTCTGGTGCTCCCATACGTTAAGAAGGAATAATACCAGTAAGCCACAAATACTTTCCCATTAAGAAAATCAGTAGGAGAAAAGGCTAAACTTGTTAAATTTAACACTGTGACACTATTTGATCAGGAAATGATTCAATTAGGTCCTTACCAAACTTACATTGATTATCTTCCCATTAAAAAATTTGTCTAAAACAATCGTATAAACCATGACATTAAGAGTGACTCATGTTAAAATAAAGAATACATCCATTCTAAAACATGACACAAACTGTGGTTAAAATCTTTTTTTTCTCATGTATTTCATTGCATAATGTCCTTTTGAAGTATAACATTGTTTGAGTTTGACGGACTGAAGATATGATTAGCTGTACAAAATGCCACGTGCCTTTATCAGTTAAAATGTTGGCTAGTTAACACTTGAAGTGTTCAAGGCTGCACTGGTTACTGGGAAAAACAATTAACTATTCTGTTTTATTTTTATTAGCCTGAGTTTTGTATAAAGTATTTGCTGATACTGAGGTTCACAATCTGTTGATTAATTGGAAAGCAGACAACAATTGCAAAATGTAGCATTAGAAAATTGCTCAGTATGCAAAATGTTCTCTAATTTTGTCATTTACTTCTAGTTTCTGTCATTGTTAGGCAAAAATATCATAATAGTTACATCCAGGTAGTAACAATTGGGAGACAAAGAATATAAAGCAATGGAAGCTGGTCACCTCCATGATAACCTCCATGGTTTAATATGCCTAAATGAAAGGCAGTATATCAAAGGATTTATTTAGGGAGAAAGTAGAATGAAACACAAAAAATATATTAGAAAACATCTATATTCTATATATGTAACATCAACGAGGTAGCAGAAACACAGCAAAATATTTTGTCCTTGAAAAAATAAGTTCCTTAAACAAAACCGAGAGGGGGACAAGGTTTGCAAAAGATCTTAGACTGACAATACGAGAGAAGAGTCATTAGCACAAACCCCGGTTTAGGCATCAAGTTATAAACACACCAGTACCCTACACTGTGATGCCACATACTTCTGCAAACCATCTTCAAGGTCTTTTCCACACGTACAAGACTAAAGCAAACCAGAGTTTTAGCAAGGAGTGCTATGACTCAAATATCTGGATGAAAAAGAATGCAAAACCCCTGAAGATCTAAAAAAAGGCAGAGCTATTGCATGGCACAGAGTAAAGTGTTCTTTCCTGGGGACATAATGAGGTTTTTAAGATATATTTATGATAGAGATAATACAATGGGGGGAAATTCACAAAGGCAGAATCTGATGACCATTTGAGAAAGCAAAAAAATAAATCAAGAAAACAGCAAGAAATATACTGCAACTGCGAATTCATCTAATTACAAGGAAACAAAGCCTGAAGACTATTGTTTTGCCTATTCTGCCTCCTTTTACTCTTTCTATTTTTATAGATTAAAAGCCAAGCAAAACATTATCAAAAAGATGTATAATTTTTCAAGATAAAATAGCTACTGCTGATACACCATCTAACTTTTATCCTATTACTTTCAGTGGGGCAGGGATTCAGCAGGAAGTGGTCAGCAGCACTGTGTGTACTGTCTGTACCCACAATCACTATAATGCATGAGTTTTTAACATGTAGTAGCATTAAGCTGTCCTGATGGCTCAGCAAAAAAATGCTGAAGAGAACAGCTGCCCTTCTTGGTGCTCTGCTGCAGGCAGACTCTAATCCTCTGGGTTTATACAGTTGTTCAAGAAACATTAAAAGGAAAAGCCTTCTAAAGCACCAGAGGCACCAAATGGGACACTGCTTGCTCCAAGTTTTACCTAGGTTAAGAAAAAGTGTATTTTATGCTTAAAAAATTTTTATAGTATCACCTTCCAAAAACAGTCAAGATATTCAAGATCTGTATCACAGAATACAGTTTCATATTTATTATCGCACGGGGAGGGGCGTGTCTGCTACAGTATGACCATAAACTGGAAATTAATCTTTTCCAGTCAAGACAGCACATGAAAGTTATTTGTCTAGCAGCTTCCAAAGTTGTAAACCCAGTTCAACTAGCTACCAGACTCTGACTGGGCTTGGTACAAAACAATTGGTATGTACCAATGAACCAGACAAAAGATCAAACTAAAAATAGTATCAATATTGGTATTTATATACCTTCAGAGTATTAAAAACAGTCTTACTGGACTTCTTGGACTTTTTCTCATTGGGAATTCCCTAACAAATAATACTGATGCTGTTATAAAATTGATTGTAAGAGTTTAAAATTAGACTTTAAAATCAGTGTAGAAAATTAGTTTGTAAACCAGGAAATGTTAAGAGTACAATTTGAAAGAAATCCAAACTTATTAAGGTATAGAACTACATATAGTATATCCAAGCAATGTTAACTCTTTCCTATAGCAATTCTTTAGTTGGAAAGTAAATTTAGTCCATCTTTTAATATGATTTTAATCCGGGATTACAATCTCTTCTCACAGTAAACAATGTCAAACATTTGGTATTAATGTACAGCAGTTCTGGTGTCAGTAACTTTATGAAATATCTAAAACTCTTCTGTTAATTAAATGTAACATCAATTCACTGTGTGAGGCTTCCTGTTAGGAAATAGTAGCTATATGCAGTTTATATTGCTAAGAGAATCAAAAATGAGAAATCCTAAAAGGAATGGAATGGTTGCCAGTAAACTGTACAAGACCAAAGATTAAGTAACTCTCAGAACAGGAGGTTATGGGTTGAAGTAGTTAAAGGGAAAATATCCCAGAAAGACATTTCAGAAAATAAATTAATTAACCCATAAAATTGCCAGAATGACAGGTATTTAAACAAAACTGTGAGAATAAACCTTCTCGGGGGAAATCTACTTCAATATTTACAACATAACTGGCCCAAATACTGACTCAAAAATTTAATTAGGATTGTGTAAGATTTAAATTTCTGTGTACTTCATATATTTGCATTTCTCAGTAGTAGTTCAATTGCTCAAGAAAAACAATATTCTGAAAGGAAAGTTTTTATTTTTTTTCTGCTTCCATTTAGAGTGTATTTCGATAACACCTTACGCCAACCTAATTTACAATTGCCACAGCCTGGTCCTCCGCCCTCCCCTTGACTGCTCATTGATTTGTGCTGATGTGAGCACTGCGCAGTAAGTCAGCTCAGGGATCTGAGCCAGTTAAAAACTAGCTCTCCAAAGAAAGCAACTTCTTGTTTCAGTTCCCTGAACTGGCTCATTATATGGTAGCATGAGTGGCACAACAGAGGGACCTCAGCTCGCTCAGTTTCATGGTTGTTTGATAGGAGGTCCTAGGGCCCCTGGGACCATTAGCAGTCCAACACTCTGTGGTTAACCACCTTCATATGAATCCCAGAGCTCGCAGTCTAAATGGTGACATGAACTGTAATTAGCTTTAGCAGGTAGTAAATTAAATAGATGAAACTTCACTAAATCTAATCCTTCCAACAAGGGCACACTAACGTCTTTCAGCAGAAAGTCACAATCACCCAGCATAACTTGCTATGAATTGTTGTGCAAAACCAACCCAGGCAAGGTGGAGTGAGATCACCACACCAGTCCAAACTTCCCTGCTGAGGAAAGGAGGGATTCCACATGCGTTCTCTTATATGACCTTCAGAGAACTGACTTAACTCACTAAACTGCATGGAAACATCTCACCCACTTTTACTGTGTTAATTTTCTGCCTTGGGCAGAATAAGGCAGGAATGGAATCACTTTCTTTGGGAAGTGGCAGGTTTTTCAGCTCCGCTCAGCCTGTGGCGGTTCCCTCTCAGGCTGCGGATGCATGTCCCGGTGTGATGGCTGCTGGGCTCAGGGAAGGGGGACCCTTCCCAGACACCTACACAACTCACACAGCGAGCAGTGACACTCCCTGTTCAGTAACCGTTCAAATAAGCCACATCAGCCCACACAGCTTAAACAGCAGATTTTCCTTAACTCCATGTGAAAATCAGGATGGAACCTGTAACTTGGTCATAACTTTATCACCTTAGTTTTCTTCACCAACAGCCCACCTGCCTATGCCCCAGGGCCAATTCTCTGAGATATTTGATGGGTGTGTACCAGAGCTCTCTCTCATTATGCAGCTGTTTTGTAATGGGGCCACAACAGATGTGAAAGAAAGGGGTTTGCATATAGTCCTTTCCTGGTCCTCTGTTGTTGTACCTCCTACACATCTTTTTCTTAAAAAACGAAACAAACCAAAACAAAACAAAAACCGAACAAAACTAAACCAAAACAAACAAAAAGCAAACAAACAAAAACAGAAATTATCAATTGCTTGCCTTGTGCCAAAGTGCAGAGAGTGGGGGGAGAGGGGAAAAAGCTTTTAAACCATGGGGTATCTGCGGGTTTGATCAAAGAACAATATCTATGGAGAATGAATGCAAGGCAGCAAAGGCACAGTCACAGGTTTCTGGCCTACAAGACTTGCAGGAAAAGCCAGCTCGAGTCAGGTACAGTACAGAAATCATTGGAATCGGTTCAATTTGACTGAATGCCGGAGCACACACTAGTTCAGGGAACAGAGCCAGACCTGACCCTATTTGCAGGGACTTTGTTACTGTTTCAAACATGTATCTTTACTGTACCAGATAACAAACCAAAGATGATACTAACCTAGCTATTAAAGAATCATTAGCAAAAGAAGCAATTCTTTGATCTGTACTAGTTAGTCAGACTGCCATTAATGCCAGCTGGGTATATTAAGTACAGATCTTTTTCTAACAATATTTTAATTGATTTGAATAAACTAATTTAGACTACACGATAAATTATAAAACCTAAGTCTCAAAACCTCCTCCCTTACACATTTATACTTAAAATCAGCAACCCAGCCATTAAGGTAAATTGCAGTTATAACAAGAAGTATTAAGAAATAAATTTAATATCTGTATCTGTTTGTACTCTGAGGCTAATAAGAATATGGTGTTAGGCAACACCAGTAATGCTCTGTTCCTTCCCTCTGTGCCACAGAAGCAATGCCATCTGTTCTGCTGGTTTGGCAGAACTATTTGAGACCACCTTGTGAGCCAGAGCAAGGGATCTGACCCAGCTTCGTTCTTTATTTGTAGGGAGATGGGGAGGACTGTTCAGGCCAGGTAAGTTCCCTGATCTGATCCACAAAAAGCTGTGTCAGCACAAGCGCTCAGGGATGGTGCAGTGGATGCAATAAGAACACAGACCACGGATATCTAAAGTTAGTACTGCTGCCAAGTGCTGCGTGTCATGAGACAAAACCTCACACACAGTCCCAGTCACTGGGTATGGCCACAAGGGGCAACAGCTCCAGAGAAATACTCCAGCACTGCTGTGAGATCCGTGCTCTTCACAAACACCAGCAAAAACCCGTATGAACAAGCATGTGAGTGAACAGATGGTATCTCAAGGATAAATGCTGCAAACACATTGCTGTATAGTGACTTTAGAAAAAAACCTGTGATGAGGCTGATCAGCAGTGAAACTTGGAGAAAATAAGTCTGAAAAGTAAATAATGAGGCTTACTGCAAGTGATAAATACAGGGCTATTGGATTATTTGCTACAGGATTTTCTCTTGTTAACCTTAGTTCTAAAGACACATTTTGCACTCAGAAAAGAGAAGGATAATCACTTCAAGGGATTATTGTCTGGAAGAAGTGATATGCAATAGTAAATCATCAGGAAAAACAGACTAAAATATACTTCAAGTAAAAGAAAATCTTTAAAACCGACAACAATTCATCAATTTATCCCCTCCCCACAATTCATACCAGTACCTCTGAAAATAAGCAATCTGTCCACTAGTGATGATTGTTTTCTAAGCCATGGCCCTGACAAATATACTTTTTAGTCTCAGATATAAGGAAAGCTACAAATGGGTATAGTTCAGATAAACATCTAAGAGTTTGGAAATTCATCTGAATGCTTTCTGTCAGAAAAAAATGTGCTATAAGTCTCGTGAGAAAAAGGCTTATTTGCAATGTTACTGGCACTTTTATTTCTGTTCTCAGCTGAGAGTAGTCAACTTCTCACATGGTGTTTTGTCTCCAGGAGTTGTGGGGAAAAAGTTCAGTTCTAAATATAGAAGATTATAGTGAGACACCCTATGTAAACTGACTTTGCCTCTTGTTACTAAAAGAGACAATGGGATGGTTAAGTAAAATTTTGGTTAGCACTGAAGAGTTGCATGAAGTTAAAGAAGAAATAAATCTGCATATATTCAACTTGAAAGACAACTTCTGATTTTTAGGTATATGGCACTAATTCAAAAATGCCTCTCAATTAACTTGACCTGAAACTCTGACAACCACCAAATTTCTATGGCAGTGCCTAGAAATGAAGCTTGACTGTACATAGCAGTAGGACTAAGGTCTGAGCAATGGATGGAGTAAATTGCCTACCATCAATAAATTACTTCCTAAACCTACATTTCGTTTCCAAAATGCCTTAGAAATTTATCAGTCTTTCATTTTAATTCAGTGGGATGTAGTCCCCAATATTAGTTCTGAAAATAAAACTTGAACTTTTAAATTTTTAAATTTATTTTATTTTATTTGTATATATATAAAATAAAATAAATTTTAAAAATACTTGTTTAAATTTTTGTACCAACAGTTTTACATGACAAATACATGTATGTGCAGAGAAAGGCTACGATGTACATGTAGATTTTGAGCACTCTGCCTCGCCAAGGGCAGCTGGAGAAACAGCACATCTCTTCCATAATGGCAATTCTCCCTTTGGACAGATCAGGTTGGGGTTTTGTTTATGAAACAAATGGGTTTGGTTTATGCTTCCTTGGACTAGCTCTACTGAGAAACCTTTAACATTTCTAACGTCGGAGACTTCCACATCAACAAAGATGGCTAATATTTACAGAACATAGTCTGATAAATACTCTTTTTGCCATCAGTGCTGTCTTAATCCACCCTTGCCTCCAAGGCTCCTTGTTCCTTCCCTTTTTTTCTGCCTTGTTGACCCCAAAGAACTCTTTGGAGGGGTGGTGGAAGTGGAGAACACAGATTTTAACCTGCATCAACTCTCTAATCTGTTTTACCACAGAATTCCATAAGTAATCATACTTAAGCAAGTGAGACAGGGACAATGATGTGGGGAATGAACAGTCAGAGACTGAGGAGTACTAACACCAGAAAAAGTGTTCATCAAACTACAGCAGCCATCCTGTCTGACCATAAGATGTTTCTGCTACGTATGGAGGCATCCAATTAAAGGGGAATTCTTGGGAAGCAAAAAGATGTCAGTCAAGGACTGCAACAAAACGTGTCCCTCAAATAATTAGGTACTCTTTTAAACTGAAACCATAGGGGTCCCATGAGTGGAATACAGTGACTTCCTTGCAAATATGCAGTTTTAGCTGCTTCTTTGCAAATCCATATTATAGCACATTCACTATATGTGCAAAAATGGGCTTGTTTGCGCAGGGCTCGTATGGTAGAGACAGTCCTTACTAAAATTTCAAAATTTTTAAAGGGTCATGTTATATGTTCAGAACTCACAGTTCAGCTGGCATTTTGTCTGCCCACAAACTACATGGTGTTGCCCTTTTCTTCAAAAAAAGAACATCCACCTATAAATCAGACTTGTGTTAAGAGAACCAAGGAGATACCCACTTAAAAAGGGTGACACACGCTCTCCAAGGGGATCTCTTCTTCTCCCTTCCACCCCAGATACAGCTGCAATTGCATGCTGCTTTTGTATGAACAAGCTTGTTGTTACTGACTCTTGCAGTTTATTGGAAAATATGCAGACTATTTTATAACTCCACATAAATGTATAAACTTCCAAGATCCAGCATGTTTGCCTATCCCTGAACCAGATACACAATATAGGTATTTATATATAAAAATGCATAGGCAGAATTTTAAAAACTCTGTAACACTCAAAAAAGAACTGTTAAGCAGCTGCTTATTCTCCACTTCTATGAATACAAGGCTGAATTATTACTCTATATAATAGAGTACTTGTTTTTCCACGAGGTAGGAGGTAATTCCTAACAGTTAGTCTGTTTACAGGTCGTATCTGCCTCCCCAGTGACACTGCCAGAGCCTGGTAATTTTTCTGAAGGACAGTTGGAGTAGACTAAGTATCTTTCACATACTGACCAGGGTATACGCTCCCTATTTAGAATTTCTATAAAGATATTTCAAAGAATATGCTTTTGTTTTAGGGAACAGAGGCACATTTTTGTTTTCATCCTCCCCTCCCCAGTCTTTCCCTTTAGAAATTACTCTTGGTAATCCCGCATGCTTGTGGCTTTTTAATCTGTAGACAAAAACATGGAGCCAGAAGTCAGATGAAAACTCAAATGCATAAATTTTTTTAAAAGACTTTTTATCTTATCTAGGTTTATATAGATGTGGTAGGAACATGGAGACCAGAGCCAACTGTATTATTTTTGCCAATCTGCCTTCAAGTTCAAGAGTGAATAATGTCACAGAAGTTTATATGCCTTCCCAGATGTGTTACGGGGTTCACAAACAACTGTGTGTGTCTGTCACCTACCCCAGCAGCTGTGAGAAATACCTGGACCCTTCAGGAAGATATACTGTTTAAGATACCAACACCTTGTTTGTTGAGAAAATAATAAGAGTCTCATGAGCATCATCAAAGAGTAGTGAGAAAAGGTTAGTTTTCTCTCAATTCTTTCTCCTGAACCTTTCCCTTCCCCTTACCTTTTTCCATCCCTTATGCTCTTTGGGACCAGTTCAGGATGGAAAATCTCTCTGCAAACCTTGGTTTCATTCATAGCCAAGTAAAGCAAAGGATCAAGCTTATTTGTCTGTCTAGAGCAATCAGAACTCCAATCAGAAATTGGACCATAAGTTGAGCATTCATTTGGCCTCTGTATCTCAAGGCACTTTGAGAATGGAGTTTCTGTTTTCCCTGCCTTGATCTGAGAGAGATTATTACTGAACTTGAGGACATGGTCAGACATGTGCAGCTGATCTGTATTAAGAAGAGACGAACTCCTTCACACTGCCTCTATTTGCCAGTCCTCTCAGATTTGCCAGTCTGAATACACATAGAATCACTCCCTAACCTGGTTCTGTCAAAATAATCTGATTTTTGTGGCAAATTATGAGAGAACCATAGGAAAGAAATGAAAGAAAAATGCTCCTTTTTGTTGGCTCCTGTTACTCTAGGACTTGACAAGGTTCTCACTGAGAGTTGGTTACCGTGGCTATTAATACCCTGATACAAAGTGAATGAATACCAGAATTTAGAAGAAAGGAGTGAAATCTCACTAGGAAACCCTAGAAGCTGTATAGCAGTTTCTTTAAAGAGAGGAACTGATGACCATTTGGAAAAATGTATTTATATTTTAATGATCTGCAAAGTTTAGCCTCTGGCAGTTCTATTTTAAAAATAATCTCTTAAAATAAAACCAGTTAACTCAGAAACTGCTGCAAGATGAAACCTATTTGATCTCTTTTCCACATTTTGAATTGCCACAAATTTTCTTTGCTGCAGAGCAACTTTCCTCCAAATATTAAATGCTGTTATCTTACATGCATAGAGAAGAGGCATAGCATCTGTTACACAGTCAAAAAACAACTAAGTGCCTTACTGCCAGGAAAGACAACTCACTTTGTACAGGAATGCTGTTTGTCTGTTAGACATGCAAGAATCCACTTAGCTTCAATTTCAGCTCATTTGTAGTTGCCAATATCTACCCTTTAAATACTTACAGCCGCCACTTCTGTGTTGAAAAGGTATCTGTTTTCATCTCTCATTTTAGAGTGAGACATTGTCCAAAGCATCTGGTAATGTGAACTGTGGGGCCCTGGATAGCACAGAAACTATATAACCCAGTTCAAAGGCATCCTAGATGAGAATAAAAGTGGTTTATGAGTGGTTCTTTTGGCAGCAGTGGCCCTTGGTTATCAAAAAATTCCACCTAACAAAACCACTCTATCTTGCAGGCTTGTTTTTACTCTGCATCAGTTCCCTGGTCTAGGTAGCCAAAGGGTTGCACACAGAGTTGCACTTGCAGAACTGAGAGTGAGATGCAGGGGCAGGAGGACTTCACAAGACACATTTGTAAAGTTGACTTGACCACAGTGTATCTGAATCATAGTCAGAGGACATCAGCCTATGTAGGCACTAATCCAAACTTTTTTCAGAGCATAAATTTACTAGACGAACATTTACAAATGGGCTGCGGTTTCAGTAATTATTTCAAAATGCTCTTTGTTTTCAGGAAACAATAGTGGGAGGAGAAAAGAGGTAAAACAAGATATTTAATTTTAGATTCTACCCTTGCCTGAATTGTTTATCAGCTGCCATGATCCCAATTGAGAACTAGCAAGAAGCAATAAAATGTCTAGGGTTTAAAAGATACAGTCTTCTCTAAAAACACAATCTAGGCTCAGAAACAGAGATTTCCATCACAAACTCGCATTGCTGCCACATGCATCAAAATCGATGGGTAGTCCACCTGGATTAGAACTATTTTACCATTCAGTAATGCAGATATTGGCCCACCAATTCCCCATGACTGAGAGTGGATGTACGCTGTAGGCATTTTTAGAGCTCAGCTCATGCAAGGACAACCCGCATGGCTGTAAAGCAGCTGTATCAGCTGTTGTTAGCAGAACCCGTGCAGCACAGATTTCATTGCAGGGGTGCATGATGTTCTACAAAAGTGAATAAATACTTGAGAAGTTTAGCCATCTCCAAGATCTGTTTCGGTCCATCTGTTCTGCCAGTAGGCAGTCATTGTAACAATATTACTTCAGTTACATACACTGTGTCTCACCTAAAAAATCCAATGCGCAGGCTGGAAGGTGTAAAGACCTTCCCCGGATCTTCGCTTGCGAAGACTGGCCATTATATTACATGGAAATACCATTTGTCTTGGCTGCTCCCAGAAATCACAGAACTTACAAAGCAAACTGTCTCTCAATGTACAATATTCTTGTTCAGGAGGGTTCTGTTGCCATGATTCTCATCATTTGTATGGACAATTTAACGCAAAAAATTACAAGTTTCATTTGACTAATATGAACCCTGCCAATAAACAAGATCCACAAACGCAAAGGTTAGGCTGCCAGGAGGTACTTCTTTGGGCCTGAAGTTAATGAGGCTGCGGCTATACTGACCTTTCCTAGGTGATAAATATTGACTGAAGCGGTTCCCATTTTCACTCCACAGACGCTTCCAGTTCCCAGGTACCCTTTCTCTACCAAGGTGCCATCTTTGCTCTTGTGCCACTACTAATACTTTTGTGGTCCCAGAGTGAATCACATCAGGGAATTGAAGCAATCACAAGCAAGTGTCTGTGCTGGCAAAAGGGAGGAGGTAATAGGTGAAAGAGATTGCAACAAGAAACAGGATACCTTGGTTAGAACCACAGGTATCATGTCAGCCTTGAAAACACACACTGGTGTCTATGCTAACAGAGGATCTGGAATTGTAATGGGGTGAAATTACTGGTGAGTGAGAACAGATCAATGAAAGAGCTCAGAACAGGTGTCAAGTCAGCTTTCACTGTCCCTTGCCATAGTTATCTCCACACTATTCCTTTCAAGAAAGCAAGCATTTAACATGTTTGAATTCAATGCTATAGTAGTTCATTCAGTAGCTTTGCATGTGTCTGAGAAATGTGTGTTATTTGTTTCAAAAATAATTAGTGCCAAGAATATAATGACAACATAGTTCAAACACAGTGTCATTCCAATACATCGATGAGACTCAAGGACAGGCAGCAACTTCCTTAACTGATGGTCATTCGATACCCCTTTTCAGCATTCTTCAGTTCACATCCCATCTCAATTACATATAATACATTTCATGAAAAATCTCATGCAGTCACCATGAAGTACTGAATATCAGCTCCTTCTTAGGCACACAAAAATTTCAAACAGAAAAAAGCTGGAGGCAAAATTCCTTGACTAAATAGGTTTATGAGAACTTAGATCCAAAGTATGTTACTTTAATCCACCTAATTCAACCAGCATTTCATCCTTTATAAGTAATTCAGTCTAAAGCTTTATAGTCAACTAGTGAAAACTTGAAACAATGCTGATATTCATTTTAAACAATCTCCTGTCAACAATCATATTTAAGAAACTATATCGCTACTTCCCATATTTGTGGTGGGCAGATCTGAATTCTGAACATCATCCAGGATCTCAGAACCATATCTAAATCACCAATAAAAGCGCTCACGGAGATGGTAAATCATTTACTCTGACATTTATATCCCTTTATGTAACACCAATTCCAGATCCCTGACTATTTTAACTTTCGTCTCACCAGTTCATCCACAACACATTCTTTAAGCTGCTTTGCATAAAGTTTTTCTTTCTCCAATGTCTTGATTATAGCATGAATCCACTTTGAGCTTCCTCCTCCTTTACAACATCCATCCTTATCTGTCAGAGAGAGCATAAAAAGCATAAAAATATGTACTCCAGTTCTCCTCTACTCTTCTGAAAAATGGGTCAGTCAGCTTTGTGCTCCTCCCTGCCTTTCACCCTTTGTATGGTTATATCCTGTCTGTTCTACTGTTCAGCTTTGTTCTCTTAGATGGTAAATTCTTCATAGCAGATGCTCCATACAATCTTAACACTTGGCCTACTTTGGATTTTGCTATAATACAAGTAATAAAGTTATATTCCACACAGACCTGAACTTCATCCATATCAACCAAAACACCCCAAACCTGTGCATAACTGCTGATGTTTTCGAGTCAGAAATGTAATGCCGGAATCTATTTTTAGACACTGTGTTAAGTTTCATTCACTTTTGATAATATGAATTTTCCTTTTGTGGAGTTATGTTTTGTTTATAGCTTAGAAATTGTGTGTGAGATCTCACAGGATGACCTTTAAAATAAACCAAGCTTAACATCTTGATCTCCACAGTGGCGTGGGAGTCTAAAGATGTGGTTGAAGATACCTGTTTCTCGTTAGAAGGAAACTAATGACAGATCATGCCACTTCCTCACTTATCAAGGAAGATCCTCTTGGTGCTAGTTTTATGTTAAACTACAGCAGTTCACCATGCACTGGTGTTGTATTTCCAATACACAAACACAAGTTGTTGACAGAGCTCAATACTGTACATTGTTCATTAAATAATCTATACAAATTCATAGAATAAATTTAACTGGTCTGCAAAATACCGAGCAGTCAATACATGGGAAGTATACTAGATAGAAATATGCCATCTCCCAGTTCATTTCTTCAACCACAAGGAAGCATAACAGATAACTGCATGTATTGGTCAGGATCTTCTCATCACACTAATTTCCGTGCTAATTTGCACAGACATGTCAAAGAATGAAAATCAGTACATTATTTTAGGAGATCAGATACATCACAGACAGTAACAGCACAAATTCCACAGATGCCCTTATCACTGACCCTTACTCTTGATCTGGAGATACTGTACTTGAAAGGACTAAAAAGTATTTTAATTGTCCTCTTCTTTTTCTGCCACTGGTGTTTGTGCTGAGGTTGTCAACAGGATGTTTCATGCTAAGAACTGGAATGTACCCAGCAGCTCATTCTACTTTATTTAAAACATCCTCACTATCTGCATAGGTATTATTCTGAGTGCAGGCTGCTAGAGCAAAAGGCTCCCTATTCAGGTGAGTTTTCCACTTGTATAGTTTAGCAGAGGTATTCTCCCTACATTGCTGTTCTAGCCTGTCTTTACATGCCAAGCAAGGCACTGCAGGTGTTGGTTGTTGTTGTGAGGTTTTGTTGGAGCCAGCAGAAGTGGTGGCCACTCTCAGGTCTGCTCTGGTCCTGTGCTGATGCCCCTGCTAATGCCCCCCCAGTTGCAAAGTAAGTAACTAATGTAAGGAAAACCAACACTGGCACCAGTGTTGAATGCTGCCAGCTGTGCACTATGGACCTCAAGGAAGAAGTACTTGTACTGTGTAATGAGCTCTACCTACAGAAACAATCTTTGCAAAACAAAAATAGGAAGACAAGAGATGCACTTTTTTGTCATTCCAGCTAAATGCCTTCTTGAATGGAAGTCAATACCTGCACAATACTGCTCAGGTGCAACAGCTAAATCCCAAACTGATTTTAGTTCACCCAAGGAAACGGCTTGCAAGGGAAAATCGAGGATTAATAAGGTGACTATTTATGGTCAGATAAAGGCTGGTCAGCTTGACATGCCTACTCAAAATACTGAGATGGAAGAAAAAAATGATATTTACAAAAGCTAACTTTAGCTTTGTGAGGCTAAGAAAACAACTCAGCAGAAACTATTGTGAATTACCATTTGAAAACCCCCTCTTCCCTACCCACACTGACCTGAGTGAAGAGTAGCCTCAATATAAGATTAGCTTTGTCAGTATCCCAAAATCTGTTAAAAAGCTGCAGACAGATTCTTCTCTAAGGGCTGAGGTGTGTTTAGTGAAAGTCAGTTGAAGTCACAGTCACAGTCCATAGAAATTACTAATGCAAGAAGAAAGACAGTTAGCTGTTTTCTGTGAGTTTAGGATCCGTGTCAGTACAATGGCACTGTGCATGTGGGGTTCTGAAGTACAGGGGAAGTGAGAAGGGTGAATCGTGTGGGTGAAATGTTCTCTCTGAACAGGTGATCCAGTGAATTCACAGGCTGGGCTGAGAGTACACAATAGGAATGAGGCAGTGATAGGTGAAGATATGAGATGTTTTCTAACAGGATGAGGTTAGCTCTTCCTTTCATGAAAATACATCAACCTTTTCTGTAAAACCTCCTCTTCATCTAAAATTTTTTTATTTTTTAATTAAGAAGTATGAAGACAATAACGAAGTGGAGGTAGATCAAATCTGTTTGTCTTCAGTGTGCTTCTCTGCTAAATTAAATGGAAACTCTATTCCCCAGTCATACTTTGAGCTGTGTTTGCTTCTGTGGCATAAGGCATCATTTTAAATAAATGCTGTGTTACACATTTTGTCTCTAACAAAGAATTGAGAATCGTCCTACAGACTCCCAAGAGTTAAAATACTGAATACGAACAAGAAGAAGGCGGGTAAATGCTAAATCTACTGTGCTGTACCAGTACTACTGTATAGAAAGACATTAGTGACTAGTTTTCTTTTTTTCTTTTCTTTTCTATTTATCCCTTAACCCAGCATTGCTGTCATTACAGGACATGCACACTCTCAAGTCATGCTGCCTAGTCTTGCACGTCACCCATACTAGTGAGCAAACTGATTTTACACTGCAACATTTGCCATGCTGATAAAACTTAATGGGAGAGAAGGTAATTTATTACATCACTATTAATTCAGTATTCACAATGCAATATTTCTATAGCCTAGGGGCTATAAACTTTCTAAGAACTACAACTGTATTCCATGTTCAGGCAGAGCAAAATATGAGTTGCTATTAGTTGTAATAAGTGAATGTCACAGGGCAGCACAGTAGACTAGAATTACCATGCCACTTACATGACAGGTAGGCACCTGTAACTAATTGTACAGTGACTTACTGGCTTAATCCTGCAGTCTCAATATTCCACCTCTCTGAAATCATATCATTCTGATGCCCTTGTGAACACTCCATCTTCCATTCATTCCCACATAAATATCTGAACACCCAATGTTCAATTAACTTCTGAAAAAAACCCAAATCCTTACAAAAACCCCTTTTGTATGCCAATCAGGGGAAATAAATGTACACTTCTGCTTGAGTGAAACTGTCTCATAGTGTTTTTAACACTCTTCAGATCTCGTGGGTTTTGTGGTTCATATAGGTACCTCTTTTTAGATGTGTTTACTTCTGTTCTGCTTGGTGTTCAGGATTTGGCTCTATTTCAGCACAGAAGAAAACAATGACAATGGTTTCAGCTATTAAACTTTTTGTTGCCTGGGATTTCTATATGAGTATGTAACTAGAACAGATACACAGAGATGGCCAGGAAATTTGCCTTAGATTTTATAACGATTCAGAAAGCTAATGAAACAGTAAACTACAATAAAAAAAAGTTTTTGCTACCAGAGAAACGTAAAGAAAAAAGCAGTAGTTAATTTCCTAAGTAAATAAGCATACACTGAATCAAATAAGGTAAGTCACCAAGAAGCTTCCCAATGAAATTTGATTAGAGCCTGATTTTTTTTTTAACTCAAAAAGATAATCTTTTCCAACACTGGAAATTTAAAAAGTCAAAAACATACTAGCTTTTATTTTAATATCTTTGTAACTCTCACTTTTCTCAGACCACAATGAGGGAAACCACTTTATTAGTTTCTGCTTAAGAAGTCTGACATAAAGCTCTCTGACCAACTGCTAACAATCCTTGCTGACACCTGTGCGCAGACACTGGCAAGTACACAGGCATGCATGGCACATGCAGCAGCCTAACACTGCATAGATAAGTTTGCAAAGCAACAGAAAACAGGACTAGGAAATGTAGCATGTTTATACAGTTTTAAAACAGCTAAAAAGTTAAAGATCTGTATTCAAATCCAGTTCTGTCAGCTCTGTGCAATAATCAAAAATCCACATTCACAATTATACATAGATTATATTATTTTCATTTTCACAACGACATAAGCATTAAAAATGTATGGAGCTTATCAAGGAAAATTAAGTTAAAATTAGTAAAGTGTCAGATCTGTACTACTCTCTAAGCTCTGTAAACTCTCTTTTTACTCTGTAAACTCTTGTAACAAGAGGATATCTCTCAGACAGCAATTTTCCAAAAATGAAAAACAGAGACTCTTCCACCATGCCAGGGCAAAGGAAAAGTATTTATTTATTTAACTAATAGATATTTAACAGCAGATTCACATTAACTCCTGTAATAGTTTCTTGTGGGAGCTAAGTGAACACCACAAGTGATGTATATTTTTAAGCCTCTCTCATAAAAGCCACTGAGGTTAGTGCTCCTTTGAGCACGGATGACTGAACTAGATTCCCTCTGGAGCTCAGCAATTCTTCTCCTTAACTGGCCTAGGCAACTTGTTTAACAATACATAAGACACTCCCTCCTCAACAAAGACTTGCTCTTCATGTTTAGCTTTTAATGTTTTTCATCAGCTTTGTCATTAGCAACTCTGAATAAAAGCCTCAAACACTGGCCTCCTGCACTGTGGTACAGATGGAACTTAAGCCTTCCAGGCCACCTCATTGACATGTCTTGACTTGGAGTCCAAATATAAGCAAACTCCTGTTTAATAAAGCAACTGCTCCCATTATGCTAAGCTCCTAGGTTTGATTAAAGAAGTAGTAATAAAAAGCTTTTGTAAATTAAGATTTCTTTCTAGTTAACACCTGTTTGGAACCTCTTGCAATCTTGCCATGTTTGAAAAGAATGTTCTTCTGCAGGTCATCATTATCATGGCTAGGCTTCACGAACGAAGATTTGAGAAGGGCTCGCAAGTAAAAACCAAACAACATCCTACCTCCCCCTCCTTCCCCAGAA